TTACAGCTCTCCAGGGTCTCAGGCTGAGGTCTTTCCCATCACCTACTGCCTGGTCCTTTTTAACTGGAGATGCCTGGGATTGAACCTGGGACCTTCTGCATGCCAAGCAGAGGCTCTGCCACTGAGCCACAGCCCCTCTTTACAGCTCTCCAGGGTCTCAGTCTTTCCCATCCCCTCCTGCCTGATCCTTTTAACCGGAGATGCTGGGGATTGAACCTGGGACCTTCTGCATGTCAGGCCGATGCTCTGCCACTGAGCCACGGCCCCTCCCTTAACTTGCCACATATTATATCAACCTTCCTCTAAGCGACCCACTTAAGGCCATGTGTCTCTCTCCGCACGTCCCCCACCAACGCCATGAAGGAGGCAAAGCTGCGTGACACAATCACCAGCCCAAGCTGAGCTTCCTGGATGAGTGAGGATTCGAACCCAAGCCCATCCTCTCTCCATTCCAAACACATCTAAGGACAGCAGCCCAGTCAGCTGCCCAGGGTGCGAGAGCCATCTGGGAACCGTACGGAACCCGCTCTGGCTTTATTCCACTTTTCCTCCGACACGTACTCATGGCTTGATTCGCTCTAAGGGTCCACGTTCAAGGCACGCTACTCCTTCCATCTGCTCAAGATGGTTTCAGTCATAGTTGGCCGTCTGAAGATCAGCGGCAAACCCGGGGGGGGAAGGAGGCATAGAGTTGTTGGATCACAGGATGTGCCGGAAGATTAACGAAACCTGCCTCCGTGTGCGAACGATCCATTTCCACACTCCATAAACCGCCGCAAAAGTACAAACCCATGTGGTTCCCAGCACCAGAACACTTCATAGGGCTGTTATTCCAGCTGTGCGGCATCTCAGGAATGGAGTCTCAAAAAAGCAATGGAGGTACTTCATTCCAGAAGGGAACCTGGTAACACCCCCCCCCCACACACACACAGACCAGATTCCTGGATAATGGACGTTATGGAATATCACCAGTGCATTTCTGATAGATTTCAAAAAGGGGGGGGGGGAAGCAGTTTTAGGTGACTGTTTATTGAAATACATTTGAATGTTACCAAAAGCTCAAGGAGCACAGGAGAACAGAATTGGAAGGACACAGAATCATAGAATGTTAGAGTCGGAAGGGACCTTGCAGGTCATCTAGTCCAACCCCCTGCACTCTGCAGGAGCACAGCCGAAAGATAGCCCTACAACATACCCACAAGATGTCCGTCTAGCCTCCGCTTGAAAACGTCCACCGAAGGAGCATCCACCACCTCCCGAGGCAGACTGTTCCACTGCTCAACCACTAGGAAAATAGAATTGGAAGGAATCCCAAAGGTCATCTAGTCCAACCCCCGCATAACGCGGGACATTCACAACTACCTTTCCTTCACTCTACTCCCCCAGTGACCCCTACTCTATGCCAGAAGAAAATAAGAAGAAAAAAGTAGAAAGAAGAGTTGGATTCATACCCCGCCCTTCACTCGTAGTCTCAGAGCGGCTTACAGTCTCCTTTCCCTCCCGCTCCCCCTCCCCACAACAGACACCCTGGGAGGCAGGTGGGGCTGAGAGAGCTCTTTCGAGGACTGCTCCTGAGAGAACAGCTCTGAGAGAACTTGCGACTGGCCCAAGGTCACACCAGCAGCTGCATGTGGAGGTGAGGGGAATCAAACCCGGTTCTCCCCAGATTAGAGTCCGCTGCCCCTAACTACCACACCAAACTGGCTCACACCAAACTGGCAAGCAAAAAACCTCCAGGATCCCTGGGCCGATTTGGCTGGGAGGAAAATTCCTTCCGGACCCCAAAGTGGCGATCGGCATTACCCTGGGCATATAAGAAAGGTCCATAAAAGTCCATCACCGGCTCATTCCCTTCCTGCCCTCCCGCTCATCGTCTGCCTAACATTTAAGATAGGACCAGAGTGTTAATCAACAGCTGTGGTTCAACAGTCACAATCTTTCCTCACTGGACGGGTCTTTTCTATGTCTGGAATTTCAAATTTGGGTCACAGACAGCAGTCTATGGAAGCAACAGGAACTTCCATAGTCTCAGAGGAGTCTTAAAAGGAGTCCCAGAGCGGCTTACGATCTCCCCCCC